GTCCGGGTAAAGACGCTAGCGTCTTTTGCGGCACCCTCTGCCAGGCAAGACCCACCCCCAAGATCATTCAAAATGAATCCTTGGTGCTAGACGTGCCCCATTTGCAGTGTGGCACCTTCTGCTAGGCAATGGCCCTCCCCAAGTTGCTTCAAGAAGAACCCTTGGTGCCAGACGTGCCCCATCTGCTGCGCGGCACCCTCTGCTAGGCAAGACCCCTCCCCAAGTGGATAAAAAAAGAATCCTTGGTGCTAGACGTGCCCCATCTGCTGTGTGGCACCTTCTGTTGGGCAATGGCCCTCCCCAAGTTGATTAAACAAGAATCATTGGTGCTAGGCGTGCCCCACCTGCTGTGCGGCACCTTCTGCCAAGCAAGACCCCTTTTCCCAAGTTGGTTTAAAAAGAATCATTGGTGCCAGACGTGCCCCATCTGCTGAACGGCACCTTCTGCTAGGCAAGAGCCCTCCCCAAGTTCATTAAACAAGAATGTTTGGTGCTAGACGTGCCCCATCTGCTGTGTGGCACCCTTTGTTAGGCAATGGCCCTCCCCAAGTTGATATAAACAGAACGCTTGGTGCTAGGCGTGCCCGATCTGTTGTGCGGCACCTTCTGCTGGGCAAGACCCTTCCCCAAGTTGATAAAAAAAACACGAATCCTTGGTGCTAGATGTGCCCCCTTGCTGTGCGGCACCCTCTCCAAGGTGAGCCCCTTTGCTGTGCGGCACCTTCTGCTGGGCAAGACCCCTCCCCAAGTTAATTTAAGCAGAATCCCTGGTGCTAGACATGCCTTTTTGCTGTGCGGCACATTTGCTAGGCACGACCCCTCGCCAAGTTGATTTAAAGATCGTATCTGGTGCCAGACGTGCCCCATCTGCTGAACGGCACCTTCTGCTAGGCAAGAGCCCTCCCCAAGTTGATTAAAATAATCATTGGTGCTAGGCGTGCCCCATCAAGAGTGCGGCACCTTTTGCTAGACAAGAGCCCTCCCCAAGATGATTAAAAAAGTGTCATTGGTGCTAGGCGTGCCCCATCTGTTGTGCGGTACCTATTGCTAGGCAAGACCCCTCCCCAAGTTGATTAAAAACGAATCCGTGGTGCTAGATGTGCCCCGTTGCTGTGCGGCACCCTCTCCAAGGTGAGCCCCTTTGCTGCGCGGCACCTTCTGCTAGGCAAGACCCCTCCCCAAGTTGATTAAAACATAATCCTGGGTGCTAGACATGCCTTTTGTTGTGCGGTACCCCATGCTAGGCAAGACCCCTAGCCAAGTTGATTAGACAAGAATCCTTGGTGCTAGACATGCCCCTTTACCGTGCGGCACCTCTGATAGGCAAGATCCCTCCCCAAGTCGATTAAGAACATTATCATTGGTGCTAGGCGTGCCCCATCTGCTGTGCGGCACCTTCTGCTAGGCAAGACCCCTCCCCAAGCTGACGAAAAAGGAGCCCTGCGAGGCCGCAAAACGGCCCCCCCGGAGGCTTCCAAACAGCCTCCGAGAGCCCGACGAGAAACCTCCCCAAGAGACCCCCAAACGAACATCCAGGAGGTCTTGGACCCGCAGCCCAGCCCTGTCGGGCGGCGGCGGCCGGCGGCGGCGGGGGCGGCCGACGAGGAACGGGTTTCTCGTCGGGCTCGTGGATGCTGTTTTGAAGCCTCCTGGGGGGCCGTTCTGGAGCCTCTGAGGCCTCGTTTGGTATTCTTGGGGGCTTCATGCGGCCTCCTCAGCGTTTTCTCGAGGCCTCCCGGGACTTTCTTGAGGCGGAATGCCCCAGGAGCCCGCAGGATGGATCCGTTGGAAGCGTGTCACTGGTGCGGCGCGGTCCGGATGGCTTCACAGTTTTTGTTGTGTTTAACGTGTGTGCCAATAGATTTGTCCTCTCCTGGGGCTTCCTGAGGCCTCCTGGGGCTTCCTGGGGCCTCCTGGAGCTTCCTGCGGCTTTCTGGGGCTTCCTGGCGTCTCCTGGAGCCTCCTGGGGCCTCCCGGGGCTCCCTGGGCTTCCTGGGACCTCCTGGTGCCTTCTGGGGTTGTCTTGGCCCTTCCCGGTGCCTCCTGGAGTTGTCTTGGCCCTTCCTGGGGCGCGAATCCTTTGTGTTAAACGGATGTGCCAATAGATTGGCCTTCTCTTGGGGCACGGATCCATTTTGTGTTTCACGTATGTGCTTATAGATTGGCCTACTCTTGGGGCGCGAATGCTTAGTATTTTATATGCGTACATCTCTCTCTCTCTCTATCTATATATATCGGCCGTAGCATTGAGCGCGAATCCTTAGCGTGTTACGTGATGCCTAGAGATTTGCCTTTTTTAGGGGCGCGAATCCTTTGAGTGTTTACACATATGCGTATAGGTTGGCCCTCTCCTGGGGCACGAGTCCTTTGTGTTTCACGCGTATGCCTATAGATTGGCCCTTTTCCAAGGGCACGAATCTTTCGCGTGTTACGTATTTGCTTATAGATTCGCCCTCTCCTGGGACACGAGCCCTGCGTGTTTCACGTATGCGCCTATGGATTAGCCCTCGCCTGGGGCACGAAGCCTTCGTGCTTTACGTATGTGCCTATATATTCGCCCTCTTTTGGAGCACGAATCCTTCGTGTCTTACGTGTGTGCATCTAGATAGGTCTTCCCCTGTGGCACGAATCCTTTTGTGTTTAACGTATGTGCCAATAGATTGGCCTTCTCTTGGAACACGAATCCGCTTAGTGTTTTACGAATGTGCCTATGTATTGACCCTCTCCTAGGGTGCGAATCTTTCGTGCTTCGCATGCGTGCTGATAGAGTGGCCGTATCATGCGAGACGAATCCTTAGCGTGTGTGGCCCTCTCCTGGGGCACGATCCCTTTCCAGGGGCACGAATACGTATTTGCTTATAACTTTGCCCTCCCCTGGGGCACGAACCCTGCGAGGCGTCACGAGCTTCACTGGGCGTCAGGGGAATAGAGGCTTCAGGCCGAATAGAGGCTTCACGGGCTTCACCGGGCGTCAGGGGAATAGAGGCTGCAGGCCGAATAGAGGCTTCACGGGCTTCACCGGGCGTCAGGAGAATAGAGGCTTCAGGCTGAATAGAGGCTTCACGAGCTTCAATGGGCGTCAGGAGAAAAGAGGCTTCAGGCCGACTAGGAGCGCAACGAGCTGCGATGGGCGTCAGGGGAATAGAGGCTTCAGGCCGAATAGAGGCTTCACGAGCTTCGATGGGCGTCAAGGGAATAGAGGTGTCAGGCCGAATATAGGTGTCACGAGCTTCACCAGGCGTCAGCGGAATAGAGGCGTCACCGCAGCTCCTTGGGGGAATAGCGTCTTCAAATAGCGTCTTCGGCGCCGGCTCGAACGGGGACCTCCCTGGGCCAGGCCTTTGTATATATATATATATATAATATACATATATATACCTGTACATCTATGGATGAGTGCACCTTGCAGGGTTTGACTTTTTCGCTGCAGGGCCGACGATGCTCCCTCCAAAGACCGTGGCGTAGTTCAGTCTTGGTTCTTTGCCCGCTCCTTCACCTTTTCTTCCCCTCCACCCCCTCTTCCTAGCGGTCGGTGATTTCTGTTAAACTTTTGGTTTGGGCCAAGGTTTTCGGCGTCCCATGGGCGCGACAGCCGTTTGTTGCAACCGCGCTGCTTACTTTCCGTCCTCCCCGTCCCCCTCCTCGTCATCCCCCCTTTTCCTTCTGCCCCCACCGTCTTCCTCCTGCTGCTGCTGCTCCAGTCCTCCTCCTTCTACATAATTTTTCCCTGTCGCAACCCGAGGTCAGTCTTTAGGCCGGGCCGGGCGTTTCGCCAGAGACTTCTTCACCATTTATGAATTTGAAGCTTTAAAGCTTTGCAAGCGTTTCACGGACTGAGGGCGGGTGGTTCTCAAACTGTGGCTCTCGCCTGTGCGCCGCGCACTTTCGATTTAAACTTCGCAAGAGCTTAGCTTCACGGATTGGGGGCGGGCCGTTTTCAAAATGTGGCTCTCGCCGTAGCGCCGCGCATATTCGTTGTGAACCTTTGCAAGAGCTTCGCGGATTGAGGGCGGGCGGTTTTTCAAAATGTGGCTGTCGCCTTAGCGCCTCGCGCATTCGGCTAAAAAATCTGCAAGGGTTTCACGGATGGGGGGCGGGTGGTTTTCAACATGTTCTCGCCTTAGCGCCGCGCGCATTCGTTTTTAAACATTTGCAAGAGTTTCTCGGATTGAGGGTGGGTGGTTTTCAACATGTGGCTCTCGCCTTAGCGCCGCGCGCATTTTTTAAACATTTGCCAGAGTTTCAAGGCTTCCCATGTTCATCGTACTAAAAATTACGATTGGAAGAGATTCAGGATTATGTGGGCGCAACAGTTTCGTTGATTCGCTATGTTGAAGTGTCAGGAACGGTGTTCTGGCACGGTTCAAGATCGTCAAGGTGCAACAGTCTTGTTGATCCGTGGCGTTGGAATCCCGAGAAGATTGTTGTGGCATGCTTCAGCGTCTTCAAGCGGTTGTTCTCCAACAAGGCAGTTCCATCAGTGGAAATGAACCGTTGTAGGGGCCTATGGAGAGGGAGCTTGGAGGGAGGGTTGATTCCAACATCGATGATGACTCTTGGGTTTCCACTGGCCCTCCTCCTCCTCCTCCTCCTCCTCCCCCTCCTCCTCCTCCTCCTCCTCCTCCTCCTCCTCCTCCTCCCCGTCCTCCTCCTCCTCCTCCCCGTCCTCCTCCTCCTCCTCCTCCTCCTCCTCCCCCTCCTCCTCCTCCTCCTCCTCCTCCTCCTCCTCCTCCTCCTCCTCCTCCCCCTCCTCCCCCTCCTCCTCCTCCCCGTCCTCCTCCTCCCCCTCCTCCTCGTGTCTTAGTTCCTGTGGTGATTCCGTGACGCGTGCGTTTGCCTCGCTGTCCGGGTCCAGTGTGTTTGTTCTGTGCCGGGCCGGCTGGGGGAGACCGCGTGCGCTCGGCAGCTGGAGACTGGAGACTGGAGAACGCGTATATATAGATATATAGATATATAGTTGCCCCCCAGATCATACATCTCGTCTTAGCTCAGCTTAGCTT